AATTTTTTTTTTTTTTTTTCTTCTTCTTTTTTTTTTTTTTAAAGTGCTGTTTCAAATATTTTCGTAATAATAATATTAATATTAGTAATAATCATTATGATTATTTGTATTGTTTTATAATAATGGGTTTTATTATTATTATACAAACATAATACAAAATAATAATAAATCATAATAAAACAATAATAATAATAATAACAATAATTATTATTATTATTTAGCCATATTAATTAATAATCACACAATTTTGGCCAAATTATGCAGGCCTACAAGCAATCACAGCAAATCTATAATGTTTTAATTGCATTTTAAATAGCATTTTATCAGGGAAAAAAAATCACAATTAGAATTTACTTTCTCTTTGCTGTATCTGTGAACAACTTCTTAAATTCATTGTAGTAATGTCAATCTACACATTCTTTTCTAATTACGGAAAATGGTCTGATTTCTCTGACAGGCTTTATGTATCAGACTGTTACACATGCATGAGTGATATCTTATGATTTCTCTCTCAGGTCATTTGTTCCAAATGTTTGGCAATCAGGGTTTGGGAATTTCTTCAGTTTCCGGTGCCTTTCCCATGATCAGTCACCCAGTCTTCAGTCTGCACTCCTCTTCTCCTGTCTGCTCTGAATTCGGAGGTCTGGGAACTCTGGGATTGTCGGCCGCTCTGGCAGCCCGCTCTCAGATCGGAGCTTTACCAGGTATGTTTAGCAGAAGAAGTCATTAGCTTCAGGTGTTTTTTCAGAGGTACAGGCCATACAACAGATTTACAGTGTTTAAATCTTATGAAACCTGTCAGAAATATGTCTGTGTAATATTTAACAACAAAATTGCTTGAAATGAAGAATTGCAAGAAAATGTTTTTGAGATCATTTTCTGCATTATATTTCTTGAACATTAAGCACATTTTACCCCCAAATTCTTATCATAATGCTAAATAAATAAAAAATTATAATTTGCATTACAATAAAGTGACATTAAAATAACATTTAAATTTTGAAATATTCATACATCATGGTAGTTTGTTGTGTATCTTGATTTAAATTAAAAAACAAAAATGTTTATTGTACAAGTATAATTTTTATATACAGTGGGTACGGAAAGTATTCAGACCCCCTTAAATTTTTCACTCTGTTATATTGCAGCCATTTGCTAAAATCATTTAAGTTTTTTTTCCTCATTAATGTACACACAGCACCCCATATTGACAGAAAAACACAGAATTGTTGACATTTTTGCAGATTTATTAAAAAAGAAAAACTGAAATATCACATGGTCCTAAGTATTCATAGTAAATGTTTTAAAATACCTTTTTTAGCATAGCTTTCTATATACATTTGTATATGTGCTACATCTCACTTTAATCATATACATACAGCACACTCACGTAAAGAAATATTCCTACTACAGAGTCAGTGTTGGGGGTATAATGCATTACAAGTAACTCGAGTTATGTATTCAGATTACTTTTTAATAGGGCTGGGTATCGTTCAAAAATTTTTGATATCGATACCGATACCTTGACTTCGATACCGGTTCCTGAACGATACTTTTTTCAATAATGGATGTAATGTCATGTGTATATAATATTTATAATTATTTAATAAGCTAATATTTATAATTTAAATTATAATTGAAAATTTTGAATTTTAATTATATTATTATACACATTCTGTTGGACTGTAATTTTTAGAATACTGCCAGAAAACTAATTAATAAACAAATCAGGTTACACTTTATTTCAAGGTGTCCTTGTTACGATGTAATTGTACATTTAAGAACTGAGTTATATTAATTAACTACATGTGCTTTATGGTTAGGGTTTGGCGCAGGGTTACTTACATGTAATTATCCATAATTTATTGTTATTATAATAGTAAGTACATGTTAGTGTTAGTTAACAAGGACACCGTAAAATAAAATGTTACCGAAGTGTTACAGTTTGCATGAATGGTCACATAATACGCGCTTTCGGTCGTGTAATGTTAGTATGAATGGACATCTGCATATGATCGGAACTCCACGCAGTTCCCGCGCTACTCTCCATTGGAAATTAATGACTGAATGACCAGTCTGTCGCTTGTCGTTTGTCGGAGATAGTGGAAAGCTGGCTTGAAACGCAGTGGAAATGCCAGTATGACGAGGATCATTTTCATTTTAAAACATAAACGCACCAGTGTAAATGTAGCCTTACATCTAAGGGGGCTGGGACGCATTAGCACTACAGCCTCAAGTGTGCGCAACATCTCTGAGTGTAACCGGTGTAAACTAGTAGGTGTG